TTCTTTGGCAAACTCCATCACTTTTCTCCGCAATGTCGGGCTACCACCACCGACGAACTTGACAGTGATCGTCTCTCCGTTATTCCAGAGATAGTAGTTGTCCGCCACATTCCGGCCTTCCGCTGTATCGACACCTTTGGATAAAAAGTCGACAACATTTACGGAACACTTCATCCTTTTTGGTTTGCTTTGCGCGTTTACAACGGCACTGGCTGTTAACGACATCAACATTACTACGAGAACCTTCTTCATACGTGTGAGTTTTATGGTGGTATGATAATTTATTACCCTAAGGTATCTATTGGCCTGCCGAATGCTATACCCATTGCAGGGTATTTAGCCATGGCAACCGTTAAGAAATGTCAAAGATTTACCGCCAATCGCCATATAATACAAATGGTGCCCAGAAAAACGGGTGCGTATACTTTGGATTGGCGCTAAGCTTTTGCTGCGCCATTCTCAATGCTTCTGCCTTACCTGTGCCGTTCATCAACTGGAGATAAAACTCGTCCATCAAAATACTTGTCGCCTCGTCGTCCACTTTCCACAAGGTCGCCACTACTGACCGCACCCGGTTGCTGATAAAGGAATTGGCCGGGGATATTTGCCAGCCTGGTCGCAATTGCTTACCTACTGCAGTCTCACAAGCAGAAAGGGTGACAAGGTCGCAACCTTCAATATCGAGCTCTTCGATCTCGTCCATCGTCAATTTACCATTATTGCCATTAGCAGAGTCTTTATCTGGAAGAAACTTCAGGTATGATTTTGAATATTCAGAATAATCAAGAATGCCATGGGTGGCAAAATGGACGAACTTCTTTCCGGACAGGCTTGTTTTCGCTAATTTCTCTGTTGCCAGGTTACCGGTATACACGGCATTGGCTGATTTTATGATAGTGCCGATCGCTTCAGCTTCTCTTTGTGTATAGCGCAGTGTTTTATCCGGCACGCCGAATACAGCGAATGATGCTATGTCTTCCCGGGGAGCAGGCGCATCTTTCAATATATCGATCTTGTTAGTATAGAAAATGGCGTAGTCTTCGGCAAGGAACCGGAAACTGCTATCCGTCATCGTTCTCCCGATTGCCTGGAAAGGAATCTTACTAAGATCACCATTGGGTATAATGCACAGTTTGTGTTTCCCCGCTACGAGTGGCGCAACTTTTGCAAAAAGGGTTTGATACAATGAATCCGCATATTCTTTGAACGTGCCTTTTACAGCTGTAGGAGGATCTTCATCCAGTTCAGACCTTAACACCAGCTTTCCAGTACCGGTTCCGGCAGCACGATTCTTCAGGATAGTGGTGAAACGACTAATCGTTCCATTA